GGGGGAAAGGGGATCTTGTTATTGTTGTTGTTGGCCTGTATCCGAAGGGTCCGAAGAATATTGCGAGCGCGTGTCTGGGCATACTACTGTGCTACGAAAGAAAGACGGCAAAGAAAAAAAATCGGCGGGGCTCAGATGTCGTTAAAGATGGCCTCTTTTTTTTCTACTCTCTCAAAATGCAAAGTTGATGACGACAGACGACCTGTTTCTTAGCTCACAGACTTTTTTTTTTATTCTATAAAATTTTTTTTACACATGCAGTCTTTGAAGTTTGCAGAGGTAGATGATGTGATTGGGGTCCGGGAGACTGCATCTCGATCCAGATGGCAGTTCTTTTCTCTCTCTCTACTTCTTTTTCGTCTTTTTCTCTGGACACGATGCATGCCTTGACTCCTGGAGTGTGTGTAATGTGTGTGCTGTTACTATTTCGAAACCGGGGGCGTTGTAGCCACCATGGCAAAAAAAAACCCCCAAGAAAAAAAAAAACAAACCAAACCAAACCCCCCCCCCCCGGATCCGCTAGCAGCACGTCATTGACAGTCCTGGCAGTCTCGCGGCGCACCTGAGCGAGCATCCTCCGACTGCGCAGGTGTCTGTGCAGTCTCGTCGTCGACAGCAGGAGCAGGAGCAGGAGCAGGAGCAGAAGTAGCAGGAGTGGGGGCAGCAGAGCTGACAGGTACACCCGCAGGATGGACGGCAGGAGTGGAAGGACCGCCGCCGTGATGATCGACGTGACCGAGATGTCTACCCGGCTCGATGACGTCCCTGACGCGCCTCTTGAGCTCCTTGGTCTCGGGGAAGCCACCGTCGTTGCGGCGATCCCAGAGCAAGGTAGACCTGATGGTGTTGGTGGTGTTGGTGGCAGCGGTAGTATCAGCCGTGTCTATCGTGACGATGAATGTGCCGCCTGTCGATGGTTGGAGAGCGACCTGGCCTATGGATGTCGAAAAGGTGGATAGAAGTTCTTGTGCGTACTTTTTATTTTTATTTTTATTTTTTTTCAGTATTTTTTCTTCCTTTTTCGTTTAGTTGGGAGGAGAGGGAGAGTGAGGAGAGGAAGAGAGAAGAGAAAAGAAGAGAAGAGAAAGAAGGGGAAGAGAGTAAAACATACATATGCCGCTCTGAGCATCCATTTACACTGAGTGCAGAATTGAATAGTCACGCGGGGGAGGGGGCCGACGGCAGCGACGACGTCACCGACGGTAGCGTTATCAGACATGACGATTTCTTCCTTTTTTTTTTAAATTTTTTTTTTGTATATGGAATGTCTGTATGTGTGCGTGTGTATGTTGTCGGGACTTTGAATTTGACGTCGTTGAATGAACAAGCTCTACGTGTGGTATGTGTGGTATGTGTGGCGTATCGTCGACTATCTTGACTTGGGGAGTCCGGAATTGTATGGAGTTGTGTTGTATGAGAGAGTAAGTAAAAAAGAGTCACATATGTGACGAGGTACTAGCAGTATATATATATATTATATATATATATATATATATATGTATCCGTAGTTGAAAACATCTCGTCACCAATGGTTTTTTTAAAAAAAAAACATTTACTGTTACTACTCGCACTAGTAGTAGAACTCGACATCCTCCACCATTATCTATACATTCACAACACACCGTCAAAACAAGAAACAGAAAAGGTAAAGGCGAAGACAGAGAGGAATATAGGAAAAAAATAATTTGATAGAAGAAGGATTTTATCCAACTGTTACAAAAGGAACAACCGTTACAAAGAAGAAATCTGTTCTGCTCTGGCAAAACCTAGACTCTTTTTCTGCCCCTTCACACCACCTTTCCAGCCTTACTAATTCTGTCACTCCCAGGAGAAGACATGATGAAAAAGCGAGGATATCGTATAAAATCCTTACAAGAACAAAATAGAAGAAAAAGAAAAGAAACTCCGTCGTCCAAAAAAAAGATAAGAGAGAAAAACAATAGCTTCGAAGGGGGTGTGTAGAGAGTAGCGCGCGTCAGGTATACATGTAACAGCCAAGCATTGTGTTTTTGTGATTTTTGCGTTTTTTGGGTGTTGAAGATTTCCGACGCGCTCAACGCTTATATCATCCATGATCGTAGGTTTGGGCCCGGGGGGGTATTCTGTATCCTCATAGGGGTCGATTATATGTTTTTGTTGTCTGCTTGTTGCGGGCCCTGGTCTTGTTGTATATAGATGACCTTCTTTTTAGGGGGGAAATCGGAAGATTAAGATGTTTCGCGGCATGCCGAGATGGGGTGCTTTGTTGTTGTTTTGGGGGGGGGGGGAACACGCAGAATTCGAGAGAAAAAGGGGTATGCTGCAGTAAAGTGAGAATAAAACAATTGGCTTGACAGAAAGACCTTGATCCCATTTTACATGACGAGGCAGCAACCTCCTGACTGCTGTGGCGCATAAGGGTCCTCACCCTTGGGGACGAGACCCCACACCGAGGGGACCATGTAGTCTCGGGTTCCGTTGCAGTAGGCGATGATGCTGGAAGTCGAGGGTCAGTATACGACACGACGTACGTGCGTGGCGGAAGGGCAGAGTGGAGAGAGACTACCTCTTGGATGCGGTGCTGACGGCAATGCGCTCCCGTTCGAGATCCTCACGTAGACGGTTGTTGAGCTCGGTCAGACGCCTGAGCTTGAGGTCGGCCATAGACTGGCGGGTGCGCCTGGCTTGCGAAGGGTCGCCCATCTCACGGGAGGTGTACTGAGGCATCTTTGTTGGAGCGGAGAGAGAGAATGAAGCCCTCGGGTGACGTAGGTTGTGTGATGTCGGGGGCTTATGGGGGGAGTTTGTTGGAACTCTGACAAGGACAAGTGTCAGCAGGGTCTGTTGGTGCAGTCTATTCAGATGCAACAGTTGGACCGATCCGGAGCGCGATTGCTTCCCGGGGGAGGATGAGGAGGACGGTCCGAGGTTGCTGCGATGGTTGCTGAGAGTGAAATTGAGCCAGAGTTTTCTTTTTCTTTTTCTTCGTTACGGTTGTGTCCGAGGTCCGCGATCTGTCGTGTCGAATTGGAATCGGATAATGGCTATGTGACGATCAAGATATAATCTTGGAAAGAAAAATCATACAATCATTGTCGTCGTCGTCGTCGTCGTCGTCATAGTAATCGTTGCCGTGTATCGCGTCGTTGGTTGTCGTCCCGACCATCCTCTTCCTTTGGTTTTCCCCCCTGAGAGCTTTTTGCGCGTTACGTGTAACGGAGCCGACTGCAGATTGAGGAATACGTCAAGTAAAGAAAAGGAGAAGACTCACCAGCCTCGTTTGTCTCGTAGACGTCGTGATATTGTTTTTTTTCTTTCTTTTGTTTTAAAAAATAATACAAGAAAAGGATTGACAAAAAAATATTAAGAAAAAGAAAAGGAGAGGGAGGGGGTGGAAGAGAGAGAAGGGGGGGAGTGTACGAGAGAGAGTGTGTGTGTACGCGACAGAGCAGAGATGGACAAGACAAAAGAAGCACAGAGCACGCCGGAAAGGATGAAGTGCGGGTGTCTGTGTGTTTGTGCGGGAAAATGGAGACGGGGGGGGGGGGGGGGGGGGGGGGGGGGGGGGGGTTCCCTACCGCAGTCTGCAGTAGACCGTACGGAGTAGTACAGGTATCAGTACATCAGTACATATACCAGCAGTACCAGTATCACCTGTAAAGATTGAATGTATTGTTATTAACACAGCCTTTGGTACTAGGCCAGCTCGACTTGCCCGGTGAGTTTATCCATGGAACGATCAATATGAGAGAATACCAGGTGGCAGCTTTCATGTCATAACGTATCAGCTGTCTACGACAGAGATTGATGTTTCTTCTTCAACCCGCCCATCTGCCGCTTCGAAACAACAGCTGCCAACTGTCGGCTGCCATCTCGTCTACGGGTGCGAGTACGGGTAGCATATAGCATATAGCATAATAGCCTATAGCCTATAGCCTATAGCCTACGGCCTACGGCCTATAGCCTGTAGTCTATAGCCAGCCTATAGGTACCATTACTCGCACACATAACTAATACCGCAGTACCAGTAGCGATACCGACTATTGAACGTACTTTTATCACTACCCGCAGCTAGTAATACACCTAACCCAACCACCACCGCCCCCTCCTCCCCAGCACTTGCTCCCCCGGGTTCCTACTCAATCCTTCCCCCCTTCTCATTGGTCACCTGTCGCCAATTCCTGCTGTATTCTCCTACGGACGCTGGAGAGCTGCAGCCATTGTCAATTCTCACATCCCTATCAGGTATCCCGCTGTACCGAGCAGGCACTGCAGTGCGGATTGCAGATTGTATCAATACTGGTTGATGGCCGTGATACTAGCAATCCTCTGTGCGATGCACCCTTTCCATCCATCAGCCTTGCCAGTTGCAGTCATTCATGCATGATCCGATGTATTTTCCATCTGTTGCCACGGTCGCCTACTGGTATTATCCGGTATTACTCCGTACCTATGAAATTGGATCCTCAGGTAATAAACACTCGGATGTTTAGAGTCTTGACACCTGCAAGTCACATGATCACTCTACCTACTACCCACTCGCTGTCCACGAATCCACCCAACGCCCCCGAATCGACCAACCGGGCCACACTCCGCCTTTCAACCAACTTGTCAACGTCGCATTCAACCAGACCGGGGGGGGGGGGCCTTGACTCAATCCTCATTTACTCCGTACAGCCTCCTGTCATCTACCATGTACAGGTACGAGCACATATACTACTCCGTACAGTCTAATCTGTACAGCTTACTCCGTACGAGCAATATTTCCTACAGCATCAAACTCCTCCGTATTACGAGTAATATCGGTACTACCTTGCGAGCACTCCGATACCAGTTGTGTTCGTGTATTGCTATTCCGTGCCTGCACCCAAGGCTTCACATCAGAATACCCACGTCACAGAGTCGACATCCTCACCACCGGACCCAGCGCGCGTCGGCTCATCGACCTCGTCTTATAGTGAACCCTACGAGTAGAGACCAGCCTCTGTTCTCTACCCATACACGTCTCTACGTCTTCCCGTCGTATACGAGTACGAGATACATATGGGCATACAGATTACACATGCCCCTTCATTGACCTGTCCCCGCCCGATAGCCGTTCCTGCGTTCATCCCCCCGTACCTACATATGTAGCTGCACGCCGTCCCCCGCCAAGACTCCAGCCTCCGAGACAGCAGGTCAGTCAATACGCATACTACAGGAACCGTCAGTCTTTCGACTCACTCACACACCTACTCGGAGCAGGGGGGAGGGGGGGGGGGGGATAGAGAACCCTCGAACAGTGAAACACGGGGGGTCGCGAAAAGGGAAGAGGGGCAGACAGACAGACAGAGAAAGAAAAAGTCACCTTGAAATAAGGATTCTCCATATCCATCTAGCCGACATCCCCCACTCATACGCCTCCCTGTAGCTTTCCTCCGCCACAACCTGACGGTGAAGCTCCCGTCTGGACCTGTTCCGCCACCATAACAGCCCAGACAGAGACACGGGGCAGGCAACCTGGCACCCCACGCAGAATAGCATCATGACCACCCCCAGCGTATACCGCCGCTCCTGCTCCGTCTTGAAGAAGAAGGGACCCACAGGGTCTCTCCAGGCAGTACCCGATGAGCAGCGCCGCGCCGGTCGTGCTCTTCTTGGTGTGCCCGGCCGTGTTTGGCCGTTGCCGCCGACATGGACAGCGGCCACGACGCCGTGTACGAAAAGGAGATCCACGGGCACGCCAGCCGGCCGTAGGGTGTCGACTGCAGGATCAGACATGCGTAGGAAAGAAGACTCACCACTGTCAGTCCACCATCGGGACAGGGACAGTCACTCGTGACGGCAAACAGAAACAGCAGCCAAGTCTGGACGTCGCGCATGGCCTCCCAGAACTGCCGCCACCTCCGCTTAAACGTCTTATTCTCGACGTCGGTACCGTTGGACTCGGTGCGTGCGAGATGACGAAGGCGCGCGCTCCCGCTCGCTGAGGAAGCTCACGCGCACGGGCAAGTCGGGCAGGACGAACGGCAGCCACGTGGATCGCAGACGGTGACGTCGCCCCAGGCCATGCTCCAGCGGTGGCCGATCCAGCGCGTCATCGGCCTGCACGGCCGTCAGGCTGGTCGGGAACTCTCACGCCGGGTCGCCCAGGTGCACGATGGCGCCGGCCCACGAGAGCTCCGTGCCCCGCAGGTCGAGGTCCGTCTGCACCCCGAAGATGGCCGCGTCACCATCACGACTACCCACACTGCCCCTCTTGACACCATCTCCTTTTTTTGTCGAGATTTGAACCGTCCATGGCGTTGCGTCAGGCGGGGAGGCGGGGAGAGAGAGGGGGGAGGGGGGGCTACCGCGGAATTGGGAAAGTGCCAATGTTTGATGTCGACTCCACGGCGTCGGGTGTCTATCAGTTTACCCCACTGACTCTTGTAAGTGAGCACTTGCCGGTTCGTTGGGATGGGTGAGATGCTTTCCTATCATTATGTATTTTATTTCCTTTGCCGAGTGGGAAGCTTACAGACAATGTCATCGTCCCTGGATCCTGCATCGGTAATGTACAGAGGTAAAAGATGTGCTTGTAGAACATTGATAGAATCGGAACCCTTTTCTGCCCTCGTTTAAACATCGACATGTACCTTCTAGAAAGAAAAAAGCTCCGTAACTAAAGCTAAAAACCTCAGCTCACTCCTCCTCCTCCTCTTGGAGATACAGTCCCTCCTAAGGCGGCGGCAGGCCATACCAATCCAGGCCCAGCCGCCTGTCCTCGGGATCCGGATCAGGCATCTGGTAGTACCCATCGTATCGCCACCACGTCCAGTCTTCCCAGACGTCCTCGACGGGCAGCACGGCCTCGACCCTCGCGAGGTCCCTGGTCATCTCCACACCGCGCCACACGCGCAGGAGGTTCCCGCCCGCAACCATGGCCAGCTGGTCCTCCGTGGCGCCGCGGTCGAGTATGGCCTGCAGCAGGTGCGGGCAGCACCTGACGTCCTCGAGGCCCGGGATGACGGAGGCGATGCCTTCAAAATCAGAGCCAAGGCCGACGCGATCCCAGCCGATGCGGCCCGCTGCGTAGAACAGGTGGTCGAGCGCGAAGGTCACCATCAGGATGCCGCCGTTGGATGCCATCATGTCGAGGATCGAGTCGGGCACATTGCGCTCGCAGTAGAAGACGGCCAGGACGTTCGAGTGAGAGAACATGACTGGGGCGCTCGTCTGCTGCAGCACTTGCCTCGCGAAGACCTCTCCCACATGTACATGGCCCGTTAGCAGGGGAGAAGGGAGGATGTGTGTGCGGTGCAACACAAAACGGATGATACCAATACTATTCCCGGCCATGTGATGGCTATGATGGGGTCAGACTAGAACACTCCCCCATACGCCCATTTGATTTCATGGCACGTACTTGCCCCTCGACACCGATAGAGCGGGCGATCTTCCCACTTTTATATATGGGCTTGACATCCTCAGGACCGTTCACGAGCTGGAACATTTCGGGGTAGGACTCGACCCGCCGGAGCGTCAGGACAATCTGCTTGACGGCATCGCGCGCCATGTCCGAGTACTCCGGGTACTCCGGCGTCGAGAGATTTTCGGCCGACCTGAGGCAGGGTACGCACACGGACCAGCATTGACCACAGACGGCTCCTTCAATGTCCTCTTCTGCGTAAACAAACATATCCACACATACACAGACACACGTTTCCTGACACGTCTCTTACGGTGCTCAATAGGGAGAGTCTTTACTCTCTGGACGCGCTCGCGCTCGTCAATGTTCAAGGATCAATACGGATGAGGGGCCGAGGTTGACATGGTGATGGCCCGGGCATAATTCAAGTTGCCATCTACAAGTCCCAAGACCGGGAGGGGGGAAGAGAGAGGATCCAGTATAAGTGCACACGTACTACTAGTCACGGGGCTGGACAAGTATGGAAAGGGTTACCGTCTCGGCAGAAGCTGTCAGTTCGGGCCAGCTGCCAGGTAAGGACTGATGTGAATACAGCCACAGATGTCGACAACAGAAACGACTCTCACAACCCCGATAGATGACGGTTCCCGCCGCGGCGTTGAAGCTCAAAAGCCGCGGCCCCTCCCTCATCACGCCTTCGCGAACATGATAAGAGGCCCCACATATCTCCATGAGATCCCCGCGGACAAAGAGAACCAACCGATCTCATTCTTCCTTCCCCACTTACACGCTCCTCTCTCGCCGTGGGGACTGTCTTTATGTGATAGCCCATCTCCCCAACCGTGTGAGATGTTGTCGATTATCTCGGAGAATATGCCTGCGTCCAAAAGTCGAGCGACGACGAGGCCCCAGGGCCAGGTGGCATGCTTACCCTGCCGACGCAGAAAGTCAAGATGCAAGTACGAGCCAAGCTCGCAGGCGTGCCTCATGTGCCGCGCCCACGAGACAGACTGCATCACTGATTCGCCGCTGTCGACGGGAGGCGAGCAACCGCTACTGCGTCCGCGGACCTCCCCAGAACATCGGGTCACCCCCGCGAGGGCCCGTGCCGTTGCATCGTCCAGGACAAACAGCCGTGATAGCAACGGCGGCAGCAACAGGCCACGGAACACCCGCCAGCCGAGGCCCCCGCAGCCGGGAAACAGCATCCTCCTGCAGACACCTCCACGCACTGCGCCGCCCACTGACCGGGTTCACGCTGCGACGACCTTGCCGGTCGTCTCTCCGGCCAATGACGGCTCTGTTCCCATCAATATCGGCAATCCTGAGCTTTCCTCCGTCGTCGTCGCCGACGTCGCCCGGCCTGTGCCGTTGGACGAAGCCGAGGATGACAACCCTCACATTGTTGGCCCGGCCAGCGCCAGTGACAAGCACTTCCTGCAGGGTTACCTGTCGAGTATCCAGGCTGGAGATGGGGTGAGGGTAATTCGACCTGTTCTGCCCGGCATCACCTCTGCCCCCGTCGTCTTCACACGCGTACAGAAGAGCCCCGTAGGCCTGGATAAGAGTCCCAACCCGTCCCATGCAAAGTTGCAGATCATCGAGAAGCTCATCGAGCCGTGGAAGCAGAATGTTGTCAACATGTGGGTCCAAAGCTCTGTACGAGTCCAGCCTGCTTACTACGTAGATGGGCTGCTGACGACTCGTCTCTTTCTCTTTCTCTCTCTCTCTCTGATAATAGGTACTTTGTCAAAACCAACAGCTGCTTTCCCATCCTCAATGATACCTTCCTCAAGGAACGTGACGCTATGACCAAGAACCGGATATCCCCAGCTGTGCTGGCATGCTTGTACGCGCACTCGCTCATATACTGGCCGCACGACCCTGTGCTCACGCAGCATCGCCAGCCTGACGGGCGTTTCATCTGGAATCTAGCCCTTGAGGCGCTGTACTCGGAACTGCACCTATCGCCTGGCATGCCTTCCATTATCGCTATCCTGTTGAATGTGGGCGGTCGCCCGACAACCACCATGATTGGCAATGGGATGCTCCTCGGTTGCGCCATATCTCTAGCACATTGCCTCGGGTTGAACAGAGACCCCATGCAGTGGGATATCCCCTACCAGGAGAAGACGCTTAGGATGCAGATCTGGTGGTGCCTCGTCATACATGATAGATGGTAGTGCCTCAGTTTACCTCTCTGTGACTCCGGCGATTTGCTGACAGCATGCATAGGTCGAGCTTCATGTACGGTACACCGCCTCATGTGCGTCAGTCCCACAATGATGTCCCCGTGCCGAAGAGCAATAGCACGGCAGGAGGAGGTGGTGCGGAAGAGAGATTCAGGGTATTTGAAGCACTGTCGAGCTTGACTGAAGTTCTCGGGGTCTATCTCGAGGACCTGTATTCGATCCGGGGCAAGTCGCGGGACAGCAGCGGTCGGACTGTGCCCGCCCGGCTTGATATTGACGCTTGGCGAGACACGCTTTCCGGTCACGTCCGGACCCTCATAATCCGCGGGACGAACCTCGACATACCGGGCGCAGCTAATCTGCGCATGTGCTTCCTGGCCGCGAGGTTCATCAGCTGCCGCCTAGAGCTCAACGCAGATGTAGAGGGGACGGGTCCCGGACAGCCCCCCAGTGGCCGACTACTTCACGCCCGAAGGCTGGTGGAAGACATCGTTCTTTTCGTGCGTGAGCTCGGTGAAGAGCAGCTCGGTGACTTCTGGCTGCCTCAGACGGCTTTCGTCCTGTCCTCAACCGTAACATTTCTGATCCGCCTCGCGGTGCAGGCAGAGATCCCCACCACTGGGGCTTCGCAGAGCCTGTCGCTGTCGTTGGCCAAGGACCTGGTGGCATCGCTGAGGTCACACAAGGAGAGATACGACTGGGAGCTTGGGGACATCTGCCTCTCCCAGTACGGCCATGTGGTAGACAACCTGGCCGCCCAGCTGACAATCACCGATGATGGGTATCTGGACCCGACAAGGCTCGGGCCCGAAGCTGGGATCCCCAACTTCTTGGACTCCATCATAGCCGACCAGTGGGACCCTCTACTCTGGGGGCAGATGTCATGACTCCACGCCACGTATCGGGCGTAGTTCACCTCAACATGACGCACGAGATGACCATGATTGATTATCGTGCCATGGATGCATGTACATGCCGATACAGGGACCGGCTTACACTGATCTCGAACAATCCCGCGGAACGAGTGTCTCGCCGTTTATCGACGGCGGGGCCGCGGCCGTGGGTCCATATTTTAGCTCCCACGACTAGACTTGCATGCGCCAGCTAGTCGAGCTCCCGCGGCGACCTGTACAGACCCAGATAAACACATGCAGAGAATAGAGCGGGTAGGAGTGCTTTCAGGCCTGTGGACAAGTTGTCGGGCATCGAAAGGTGCGGTCACTGAAAACTCTCACAAAAGGTACCTCTATCAAACCGGACCGGAAGGGTGCTATAACCCCTCCCCCTCCCTGACCTCATTTCTGACGATCGGACTGGACATTATTCAGCTCCTCTGGCTTCCCCTTCCCCTCTCTGCAAATCCCCTCCTCCCCCATATCGCAGCCATGGTTGTCAACGGAGACCAGACGGCCTTTTGGCAGGATGCGGACAGGTACCTGATGTACACGGGGGTACCCTACTCGCCCGTCGTCATTGTCAAGGCGGAGGGCGTCCGACTGCACGACTCTACGGGACGGGAGATCCTCGACTTCACCTCGGGCCAGATGAGCTCCCTGCTAGGACACTCGCACCCCGAGGTGGTGGAGGTGGTGCGGCATTACGTCGGGGAGCTGGACCACCTCCTCAGCAACATGATCACGTCGCCGGTGGTCGAGCTGGCCAAGCGGCTGGCCGGGCTGCTCCCGCCGGGGCTGGACCGGTCGTTCTTCCTCAACACGGGGTCCGAGTCGACCGAGGCGGCCATCAAGATGGCCAAGATGTACACGGGCAAATTCGAGATTGTGGCCTTCACGGCAAGCTACCACGGGCTGACGCAGGGGTCCGGGTCGGCCACGTACTCGACGGGGCGCAAGAACGCCGGGCCCACGATGCCGGGCCAGCTGGCCTTCCCGGCGCCGTACCCTTACCGGTCGGTGTTCCGCAAGGCCGACGGGTCGTACGACTGGGAGACGGAGCTCGAGCACGGCTGGGCCATGATCGACCGGCAAAGCGTGGGCTCCCTGGCGGCCTTCATCATGGAGCCGATCCTGTCGACGGGTGGCATCCTGGTGCCTCCCAAGGGCTACCTGAAGCGCATGCAGCAGGAGTGCAGGAAGCGCGGGATGCTGCTGATCATGGATGAGGCGCAGACGGGCGTCGGCCGCACCGGCCAGATGTTCGCCTTCCAGGACGACGACGCCACCCCGGACATCCTCGCCCTGTCCAAGACGCTGGGGTGCGGCCTGCCCCTGGCGTCCGTCACGACCACGGCCGAGATCGACAGGGGCTGCAGGGACGCCGGCTTCCTCTGGCTCACCACCCACCTCAACGACCCGCTCACCGCCGCCGTGGGCAACAAGGTCCTCGAGATCGTCGAGCGCGACAACATCCCCCAGAAGGCCCTCGAGCGCGGCGAGCAGCTCCGCCGGGGCCTGCTCGCCCTCCAGGAAAAGTACTGGTGTATAGGCGACGTGCGGGGCCGCGGGCTCTTCCAGGCCATCGAGATCATATCTGACGCCGAGAGCAAGGCCCCCGGCCCGGAACTGGGCGCCGAGATCTCCGCGCGCGCCCTCGATCTCGGCCTGTCGTGCAACGTCGTCAACCTTCCGGGGATGGGTGGCGTCTTCCGCCTAGCACCGCCCGTCACCGTCACGGCCGAGGAGATCGAGAAGGGGTTGCAGCTGCTGGACGCGGCATTTGGTCAGGTCTTGAAGGAAAAGGGTTACTCGGCTGCTTCGTAGAGGTGGAGGGGATCGGGGTCTTTGCTTGGAATACGACATGACGATGAGCTCAAACAGACGAATCAACCCAGCGCAGTTTTCTAGACGTTTTATAGAAACGAGTACAGATATATATATATATATATATGTGTGTGTGTGTGTGTGTGTGTGTGTGTGTGNAGAAACGAGTACAGATATATATATATATATATATGTGTGTGTGTGTGTGTGTGTGTGTGTGTGTGTGTGTGTGTGTGTGGGTGGGTGGGTGGGTGTGTTGCAGTCGGATCAACGTAAAATAAAATAAAAAACTCCGTAAAAGTTTTGGTGTACGGTATACGGTATATACCGTACAGGGGCCGGCAGGAAGCGGTTACATTCGGCAATCACTTCACGAGCCTGAACTTGCAGTCATGACAATACTATCAGCAGCAGTGCTAGCAGTAATATCACTAGTATTGATATCCAGTACCTTGATAGTACCGAATGGAGGCCAGGTAATCTGTACTGGCAGTGGTCATTGAGCGACAGTTTGAGCCTCGTTTCTACCCCGCACGATCACCAACAAGCTTCCTCCCCCCCCCCTCCCTCCTCCGATGAAGAGCATAGCATCAACAACAACAATGATTAATCACTTTGGTACTGTAAAATCTCGTTGGGTTTTTTTTTCTCGACCTGCGGAGATTGCATTCTTCTTTCTCCTTTTCCCTCTTTCCTATCAGGCAGATTATATGTGAGGCTCGCTGAACTGACTGGTCGATACCAACAGTCCTGTTCAAGCTCAAGGCCGGCGTCACAGACGCCCAGGTCGCCGAGATGAAAGCCCTCGGCGAGGCAATGGTCGGCGTCGTCCCTGGCCTCAAGAGCTTCGCCATGGGACCTCCTCTGGCTGCCACCGCCGCGCGCGCCCAGGGCTTCGACCTGGCCCTCCTGGCCATCCTGGAGACGGAGGAGCAGCTCCTGGCGTATGCTACGCACCCGGCTCACGTGAAGTATGGGCTCCTGTCTCCCACCCTCCTCATCATACCGGAAGAAGGGAGCAGAGGCTGACTGGTGACTTTGCGGTGCTGTAGGGTCAACGAGATGAGGCTTCAGCTTTGCGCCGATACCTTGGCTTACGACTTGGTTGCGTAGTGTTGAGACGGGAAGAGGGCAATGGATAGTGGCATGAACCGGGGAGCGAGAAATACTCCAGACGATATTTTTCCTCCTAGTAACCATCATGTACGTCCTCTCGGGGATGGGATCTTTCTGATGATGGACTGGAAGGGATCCGAGTGTACGTAGCATGCTAGCTACATGTACATGTACATGTAGTGCGTGCATGTTCGGCCAATCCGCCATACACAATAAGCGCTAGATGTCGCAATACGACAGACAACGGCTTTCGAACTCGGGAACTAAGTCCGACCTTGTGTTTTTTACGTCCGAGGGTGAACACAGAATCGGCTCAGTCCGACTTCCAAGTCAATACTGAGACGCAGACAGAAACGCTGGTACATAAACGGGGCTCCTGGGGGTGAGACAAGTCGCGTCTGGAACGGTTCTCTCGGCTGCAGCCATACGAAAAGTAACGGTAACAGGCAGCAGCTACTATCGTATGTTTCACACCCCTTTGGCTGCACATCTGTAGACAATCCCTCAAGGCACCGCCGACTCTTGGCCTGAAGAGCGGAGACAAGGCAAGAGTTACAGTGTACATGTGTACATGTAATCCGTACGCGATACCTACAGACACACAACGCGGGGTGAGGCCATCGCGGCAGTTTGTCCGATGCACCTCACCATCAACTCACCCGCACCTCATCCCTTCCCCACTCACATGTACACGCACCATGTACACACACCATGTACACACACACACACACGCACAAACACACACGCCCCGGAAGTTGTCCATCGTCGAGCTCGGGGTTCACCCCGCTCTCCGGTACCGGTCAAAATGTTTGACAGCTGATAGCAGCTGGGCGCTAACAGTTTGCGGATCCGTTTTCCCCGGACGGGTGTTCCCCCCTCAGCCTGACGGCTCAGATTAGGTCTAAATGTAATCAAGCTCTACCTCGATTCTGTACACGTACACTCTCACCTTCTCCGACAGCAGAAGAGAAGAGAGAGAAGAAGAAGAAGAAGAAGAAGAAAAAGACTCACCATGGTCGGCTGCGCGAACTCATGCGCCGACTGCTCGTGCAAGAGCGATCAGGCCAAGCAGCCCGGAGATATCGAGGACTACTTTTCCAAGCTGTCCGAGGCCCAGGATCGCATAGCTGAACTCGAGAGGAAGATTCGCGATCTCGGCGGCAAGACCGATCACGATGCTTCTCCGCCCAAGTCTCCTGTCAAGAAGAAGGCAAAGACTCTCAGGTCCACGGGCTGGTTCAACGACACCTCGAGCCCCGTCTTGACCTCCATCTACCTGGAGCGCTATCAGAACTACGGCCTTACGCTCAAGGAGCTCATGTCGGGCAAGCCCATCATCGGCATCGCCCAGACCGGATCTGACCTGGCGCCGTGTAACCGCCACCACATCGAGCTGGCCAAGCGTGTGCGCGATGGGATCCGCACCGCCGGCGCTATCGCCTTTGAGTTCCCGACTCATCCAATCCAGGAGACGGGACGGAGGCCCTCGCCTACGATAGATCGCAACCTCGCCTACCTCGGCCTGGTTGAGCTCCTCCACGGATACCCTATCGATGGAGTCGTCCTCCTCACCGGCTGCGACAAGACAACTCCAGCATGCATCATGGCTGCTGCCACTCTAGTAAGACGGCCCCTTGCCATTGATCGAATCCCGCCATGCATATATGCTCTGACGATAAGCCCAGAACATCCCTTCCATCTGCATGAACGTTGGCCCCATGCTCAACGGCCACGACGGTGACCAGAAACTCGGTTCTGGCATGGTCATCTGGAAAGCAGATCAGCTCTTCGCGACGGGAAAGATCAATTTCGAGGAGATGGTTCACATGGTTTCTCTCGGGTATGGCCATGCACATATATGGAGCCCCCTAGCCGTCTCGATCGCTCACACTTTTCCCTCGCAGCGCTCCCTCCGTCGGCCATTGCAACACCATGGGGACGGCCTCGACCATGAATGCCCTGGCCGAAGCCCTGGGGATGGCATTGCCGGGGTCCTCCGCCATCCCGGCCGCATACAAAGAGCGGGGCCAGTGCGCCTACGAGACGGGCGTTCAGATCGTCGAGATGGTCAAGAACGACCGCAAGCCGAGCGAGATCCTCACACGAAAAGCATTCGAGAACGCCATCAGGGTCAACGCTGCCATCGGCGGCAGCACCAACGCGCCTATCCACCTCAACGCCATCGCCAAGCACATCGGGCTGGAGCTGAACAATGACGACTGGTACGAAGTCGGGTTCAACATCCCACTGCTGCTGAACATGCAGCCCGCGGGCGAGTATCTGGGAGAGGACTACTACCAAGCTGGCGGTGCGCCGGCCATCATGGCGCAGCTCCTCGAGGCCGGCCACCTCTGGGCCGACGCCCTGACCGTCAACGGCAAGACGGTGGGCGAGAACGTCAGAGGGACGGTCAACAAGCTCCCCAACGTCATCCGGCCCTTCGCGGACCCCCTCAAGCCCAGTGCCGGGTTCATCAACCTCTCCGGCTCTCTCTTCGACTCGGCCATCCTCAAGACATCGACCATCAGCCCCTACTTCCAGAAGCAGTTCCTGTCAAACCCCGAGAGCCCCAACGCCTTTGAGGGCAAATCATTCGTCTTCGACGGGCCGGAGGACTTCAGGGCCAATATTGACGACCCCGCGCTCGGCATCGACGACAAGTCCATCCTCGTTATGCGCGGGTGCGGTCCCATCGGGTTCCCCGGCGCAGGCGAGACCGTCAACATGCGCCCGCCCAACTACCTCATCGACGCCGGCTGCGAGGGTCTCCCGTGTATCGGCGACGGTCGTCAGTCCGGAACGTCGGCTTCCCCTTCCATTCTCAACGCGAGCCCCGAGGCCGCTGCGGGCGGGAATCTGGCCCTCCTCAGGCACGGTGACGTTATCCGTGTCGACTTGAACACGCGCCGCGTCGATCTACTCCTGTCGGACGAGGAGATCAAGGATCGCCGCGAGAAGCTCGACGCCCAGGGCGGTTACAAATATCCTGAAAGCCAGACGCCCTGGCAGGAGCTGTACCGCGCTGAGACAGGTCAGTTGGACGAGGGTATGGTCCTGAAGCGGGCAGTCAAGTACCTCAATGTGGCAGAGAGGTGCCCTGTGCCTCGTCATAGCCATTAGCTCGTCATTGGCCGAGATCATGCCCAACTCTGCACCTGCTAATCAGGCCGCCTGGTGGAGATGGAGTCAGTAGTTTAGATAATGTACGATGAGCTTTCAGGTTATGATGTGAATGAGAAGGAGGTCATGAACAGGCAGAATAAAAAAAATGAACCAATGGTTTCACCACGCATAGATGTCCACTGTCCATCAAGTCAGGTCGGGCTTTTACTATCGCCAATGGAACCCTTCAAGACACATACGTACATATTCATGAAACCGGCTATCTCGTTAAAACGGCAGGTATTGTTTCTGACTTTGCTTGCCCTTCTGGGACTGCTAGGATGAACACATCGGGCTGAACCGATGCTTTTGTCTTCTCACTTCCAATAGAATGTACCCACTAGCTGAGAGGGTATGGTTGCTGAGAGCATTTTCCGACAACACCAAATTCAGCTGATTGAAGTCCACCCGTTGATTCCTGGACACTTCTTTCCGCCAGTCGTGCATTTCGCATAGGGTGGCCTCCTCGATTGCTCGCCAAGTAAAGAGGAGCGTAGGTAAGACAAGGATACGGCAGGCCTGATCCGGTTATTCTCGGAGACTGGTGGGATTCCTCTGCGACGGCTCCGAAAACGGCAAGACACCTCTCAGTCTCCAGTGTCGACCTCGAGGTCCAGCTGGACTCCGTTGGAGATGCCGTAGTCCTCAAGCGTGATGATATCTTTGAACGGCCGCTCGCCCTGCCTCTTGAGCATGATCTGTCCGGGCTCGCGTCCAATGCGCGCCGCCACCATCAGCTTGAGTTGGCCAACCGTGTCGGAGGGCAGGCAGGGGATGGCCGATTTGGTTCCTAGGCGATCATTGATATTGACGATGATCATCTCCTGACCAGCTGTTGGCATGGCGTATGCCGGCTTCTTGCTCTTCTCCTTGTTGCGCGGCTTATCGCCATCTTCCTTGCCTGATGACTTCTTCTCCGGGCGGTCTCTGTCCGGGCGGTCCCTGTCCGAGCGGTCCCTGCGTGGCGACCGGAGACGGTGGCCGTCATCATCGTGGCGGTCGTCTCGCCTTCGGTCATCTCGGTCGTATCCGCGCTGGTTGCGTGGGGGAGAGCGATTGCGAAAACTTTGTCGGCGATCGGGATCACGACGATCCCCATCGCGACGGTCGGAGCGGCTACCGCCGCTGCCGCTGTCCTTCCATCGAAAGCCGCCGCTGCCCTTGGGTGCACGTCGTGGTGGCGACCTTGAGCGAGATCGCCGACGCGAGTCGGCCATTTTGTTCGGGAGTTGTATCCACCGCAAGAGCTTCCCGTTTGTTGGAGAAATCTGCTCCGAGAGTGGGTTGTCCTCTGCAGAGGCTGAAGGTGTGGAAGACAAGAGGGCAGGTCGGGGTTCGGGGCGACGATCTTGAAGCTCTCACAGGCTACTCCACAAAGAAGCTCAAGGATGTAGTCACGTGATGCTTTTAAATTGAGAATAGTCCTCCTAAGTATTACTTTTGCCGCTTCAGTATTACGGTTGGGCTGGTCAGCCTTCACTTGAATGTGATTCGATCCGAAATTTAAAGAAAAATACTCATCAGCTTGCGTATGTTGAATCTGGTATTAAATCTGTTCTTTTTTTGGCATCAACCTACACCGTCGGCTGTTGGAAGATCGGGAGTATAAGCCCTCTTGCGTAGCTGATGTAAGCACGCACGTGATTTTTGAAGCCCCGCGATGCCCAGGTAGCGTGCACACACGAAAATGCAAAATTCATCGCCAGAGCCAGCCTTCGTCTCACCAACCGAGTGACCGTCAGTTTATCCACTCGTCCCAGGCATCGCGACGGCGCAATAATAGCCTGCTACAACTTCTTGCTGCGTTTCGGTTTATCCGCAGAGAAGTTTGCCCAGCATGGTTAGTTTTTCCCTTTTTTCTGCCAGAAGAGAAGGGGGAGAAGGGGATTCTTTTTTTTCCCTTCTTTGTGGCGGTCCCTGTTACCCCTCCCTGGCTAGGGTCAAAATTCTTGGACTCAACGCTGATGATATGTCCTTTCTTCATTGTAGCCTCCGCCGCCGCATCAGAAGCCCGAAAATGTCCTGAAGCGAGCTCACGAGCTCATCGGGGTGAACCAGGCTCCGGCCGCCCTCACCCTGCTTCACGAGCACATCACCAACAAACGATCCCGCAATGTCCCTATCGCCTCGCTGGAGCCCGTGATGCTCCTCCTCGTCGAACTCTCCGTCGAGCAGAAGAAGGGAAAGCTTGCCAAGGATGCCTTGTACCAGTACAAGAACATCTCACAGAACACCAACATCGCGACCATCGAGGTAGGTTATTTTCCAACGCCCCGTGGCAAATAAAACCCCTTTCTCGAACTGACTGCTAACCGAAGAATGATACGTACAGCTGGTCCTCAAGAAGTTTATCGAGCTAGCCGTCGAGAAGGTGACCGCTGCCCAGCAGAAGGCCGACGAGGTCCAGTCCAGCATCGAGGCCACTGCCACTTCCAACATCGAGGATCTCGAGGCCACGGAGACCCCCGAGTCTATCCTCCTAGCCACTGTCTCGGGCGAGCAGTCCCGCGACCGTACCGACCGTGCCATCGTCACCCCTTGGCTCAAGTTCCTCTGGGAGGCCTACCGCACCGTTCTCGACATTCTGCGCAACAACGCCCGCTTGGAGATTCTTTATCAGAGCACCGCCATGCAGGCCTTCGACTTCTGCCTCAAGTATACCCGCAAAACCGAGTTCCGCCGTCTCTGCGAGCTCCTGAGGAACCATGTCCAGACTGCTGCCAAGTACTCGTCGCAGATGCACGCCATCAACCTGAGCGACCCCGACACCCTCCAGCGCCACCTTGAGACCCGCTTCCAGCAGCTCAATGTTGCTGTTGAGCTCGAACTCTGGCAGGAGGCCTTCCGCAGCGTCGAGGACATTCACACCCTCCTCAACCTCAGCAAGAGGCCCCCCAAAAACATCATGATGGGAAACTACTACGAGAAGCTCACCCGCATCTTCCTCGTCGGCGAGAACTACCTCTTCCACGCCGCTGCTTGGTCCCGATACTATACTCTGCTCCGCCAGTCCGCCACCATGGTGGCCTCTGGCCAGAGCAAGAAGTCCGACAACCCCCCGGTATCGGATGCCGACCTTCAAAAGGCCGCCTCGTTCGTGCTCCTCTCGGCCCTGGCCATCCCCGTCATCAGCACCTCGCGCTCGCGCGGCGCCATGGTCGACTTCGATGAGGCCAGGAAGAACAAGAATTCGCGTCTGACTCACCTTTTGGGCATGAACCAGGCCCCGACGCGCGCTCGTCTCTTCAAGGATGCATTGTCCAAGTCACTCCTCCAGAGGGCCCGCCCTGAGATCAGGGACCTCTACAACATCCTCGAGGTCGACTTCCACCCCCTATCCATCTGCAAGAAGATCTCACCCATCCTCACCAAGATCGGTGCCGATTCCGAGATGGAGCGCTACATCCAGCCCCTGCAGCAGGTCATTCTCACTCGCCTCTTCCAGCAGTTGTCCCAGGTTTACGAGACAGTTGACCTGAGCTTCGTCGAGAGCCTCGCCCAGTTCCCTGAGCCGTACCAGGTCACCAGGAGCACCATTGAGAAGTTCATCATGAACGGCAACAAGAAGGGTGACCTCTCCGTCCGCATGGACCACGCCACTGGCGTCCTCAGCTTTGACAACGATGTCTTTTCCTCCGCCAAGGCTGGCCACGCCGGCTCTGGCTCTGGCTCTGCCGAGTCTGAGACCGGCACCGTCCAACGCCTCCAGAGCACGCCCTCCGAGATTATTCGCTCTCAGCTCACTCGCCTGACGCGCAGCCTGTACACCACCTGCCACTACATTGACCCTGAGTTTAACAAGGCCCGTCTGGCGGCTCGCAGCGCTGCTCTGGCCCGCGCCAAAGCTGGCGCCGAGGAGGAGCACCTTGAGACCGTTGGCCGCAAGGACATCATCCAAAAGCGCAAGGAGGAGGCTTCCGAGCTCCAGGCCAAGAAAGAGCAGGAGAACGCCCGCCAGAAGCGCCTTCGCGAGCAGGCTCTGCAGGAGGCTGAGGACCGTCGCCTCGCTGCTGAGCAGAAGGAGCGTGAGGAGAAGCGTATCAAGGCCGAGCACGACCGCGTCCGCAAGGAGGAGCTCAAGAAGCAAATCGCCGACCTCAAGATCAACGACAAAGCTCTCGATATCGACCTCGAAGATCTGGACAATCTGGACTCGAACCGCATTCGTGCTATGAAGCTTGCCCAGCTTGAGCGTGAGAAGAACGACGTCAATGAGCGCCTCCGCATCACTGGGAAGCGCATTGACCACCTTGAGCGTGCCTACCGCAAGGAGGAGGTCAAGAAGCTGAATGCCGACTACGAGAGGCAGATTGAGGAGGATCGTGCCATCTACGAGAAGGTCAAGGCCAAGACTCTCCAGGACTCTGAAGAGAAGCACAAGGAGAGCGTCGAGCTCAAGCACCGTCTTAGCCGTTTGGTTCCCATGTACGAAGAGTACCGCTCCTCTCTGTATGAACGTCGTCGTGATGAATTTGAGAAGCGCAGGCGCGATGCTGAGCGTGAGCTGGAGAAGCAAATCGCCCTCCGCAAGAAGGAGTTCCGCGAGCGCAAGATCCGCGAGAAGCGCGAGGCCGAAGAGAGAGAACGCGAGCTTCGCGAGGCTGAAGAGCGTGCCGCGCGTGAGAAAGAAGAGCAGCGCGTGCGCGAGGAGGCCAAGAAGGCAGAGATGGCCAAGCTCAAGGAGCAACGCGACAAGGAGAGGCAGGAGATGCTCGAGAAGGCCGCCCTGCAGCAGCGTCGCGAGGAGGAGGCACTGGCACGCCGCAAGGCTGAGAAGCTGGCGGCCTCGACACCGGAACGCGGCAACACGCCCGAAGGTCGCAAGCCCCCCATTTTTGGCGCTGGCAAGTGGCGCGAGGCGTCCGGAAGGGGGAGCGGCGAGGGCCCTCCTCCTCCTGTGGCCATGGAGCGCACAGGCTCCAGCGACCGTCCCTCTGGTGCGCCGAGACTCGCTCTTTCAGGTAACAAGCCCAACTGGCGTGAGCGTGAGGCGGCCAAGGCTGCCGGTCGTGGCGGCGCCAGCAGTGACGCCCCGCCCCGTGATGCCCCTCCCCCCAGGAGGTACGAGCCTCGCGGCGGTGCCGCCATTGAGCGTGGAGGGTCAAACCGCGGTGACGGTGAACGGAAAGCATCTCCGGCTCCTAGGGAGAATCTGACACCCTCCGGTGCAGCTGACAAGTGGGTTCCGCCTCAATTGAGGAAACGAACAAATTGAGGAAACGAACACTGCACGAAGGAAGATGAAGACTGCGATGGCATTTGGCGTTTTAGGAAATGCGTGTTTTTCACTTGGAGGCGGCGGCGGTTGTACTCTAGAGCTCAGTAGTATAATCTCCCTCTGCTGGGAAATGGAGGCAACCAGATTGAGAGAGTGATATTATAAAAGTTGCCGTTTCTTGCTCCATACTACCAAATTTACAAGCCTATGTGGTCAATATTTTGGGTTCGTCATAACTTGCTGAGTTATGAGTCGGGGAGGGTTTAGTATTGGGTTTTTTAATGATAGGACATATCGCGCTCGAAAAGAGAAATCAAACATAAATATGAGCTTCGCAAATTATAGGAGCCATTCTTTCATCGTCATTGTGGTGACTTCTACGCCAATTATTACTGTTCATATTGTACATGAACAGAAAACGGCAGATACAATCAAGTGCGATCTGTAGGGTATGAATATCTCACAACTAATCAATTAACCCCCACGACATTTTTGTCAGAACATCACCATAAAAAGTGACAATCACAGACAACACCATCGCATAAAACCACACGATAGCTAGCAACGACAACAACGACAACAACGGCACTTGTATCATGGAAGAAAACGCTCAAAATTCCTTGGGTCGTCTCATATGTTTCACCCCAGCACAGGCATGCGAAGCTTACTACGTTTTTGCGTCAGTGGCCATCATTGGAATCAAGCTCCTTCCCAGCGACGTACGAAGCGCACTACTAGACTACGGGGCACGGGGGCAAAAGTTGCATGGCGGCTCTTCTAGTGAGGAGGAGAAACAGACCCAGGAACGAGGTCTCCTACCCAGGATACTCGAGTACATGGAGGTACCCCACTCGTGGTTCCTGCATTTCTACCTGCTGTCGGTTGCGTCGTCTGTCTTTTGGGCATGGCAGTTTCTGGTGCGGGGGAGCGTCATGGAGTGGCTTGTTATGGAACAGATCAACGATAACCGAATGGCTTCCACCAGCATGGCTCAGGTGTATCTAGGCTGGGGGCTCATGGCACTCCAGGGGACGAGGAGGCTGTATGAGAGTTTGGTGGTCACCAAGGCGGGCTCATCGCCCATGTCTAGTATCCACTGGCTTGTCGGGCTCGTCTTTTACGCTGACATGGGCTTGTCGGTCTGGATACAGGGGTCAGGTAAGGACTGTTTCTTTCCCTCTTCTTTCCATATAAGCCGGAAACTGATCAATACAGGTGCCATTCTCGACTCGTGGAACGGAAAAGGAGACGTGGCCTTCACCTTTCCGTCTCTCATCTCCCTCGTCCTCGCTCTGGGACTGTATACCGTCGGCTATGTCACGCAGAATCAGTGCCATAAATACCTTGCCGGCCTCAGGAAGTACACTCTCCCGAACGAGGGTTGGTTCAGGTACATCATCTGCCCACACTACACCAGCGAGTGTCTTATCTACCTTGGTCTGTCTGTGGCGACGGCACCCCCGGACACGTTTCTTGTCAACCGGACAGTCTTTCTTGGCCTCGTCTTCGTGGTTGTTAACCTTGGGACTACGGCCCACGGCACAAACAAGTGGTATGGGCAGAAGTTTGGTGCGGATAAGGTGGCTGGAAGATGGAGCATGATTCCTCCCATCTTTTAGCTGTTTCTTGTCTTTTTTGTGTTGCATTTGGTGCAGAAGCCTATATTAGCACATGTTCCTGCCCTGCGATACATCTCAGCGCCGGCGAAACAGCCCCAGTTTGTCTCCGACTTTGGACACCTTGAGAACGTCTCGATATGTTAGGCTGGTGCGTGTCTCTCGCACGTTGCGTCCGTTGGCAAAGGTCTCGGGTGAGCGTAGCAGGGACCAGTTGACGATGGCATCTTGACCCAGACCGGTATCCTCGTCGGCGTCGGAAATGCCGTGCAGGTAATCGGTGTAGAGATCCTGGGTGGTGATGAGTAGACTACGAGGCTCTTGAAGGATTCTCCAGGCCGGCTCCGGTTCCATGGCACCGTCTTCCTTGCTGCGGTATAGGTTGAGGCACAGGCTGGCTCCCAGGCTGACTGTGCATACGACTGGCCAGTACGCGGCGCCGTCCTACGAAGTTTATGAGCTTTGTTTGTTCTACCATTTTCCACCACTTTCGTGCCGTTGTCTCTCTCATCCGTCCCGTCTCTCGTAGGAAGTGTCAATACTCAACTTATGCGGCATGATTCCTACACCGGGAGAGTACTCGTTGATGAGGACGTGGTTCGGCCGGCCGTGGGGGCTGTCCTCAAATAGGTGTGTCGTCGAGGCGTCATCCGACACCGGTATCGATCTAAGCCGCGTAATGACAGGGTCCTCTAACCATGTAGGTAGCGGGGAGTCGAGGAGACGGTTCTGCACCAGCTCCGATGGCCAGGCTTGCAGTCTTCGATGGGTCAGATGTTTCCATCTTGGTCTCGGCACAGCTGCTACCTAGATGTATGTTAGCGGAACGGCCCTAGAGTGTCGTCCCATGGGATAGCAGAGAACGGCCGCGCGCACCTTGTCCAGGAGAATCCTTTCCTCTTCTTCACTGATAAAGTCCGGGATGTAGAACAAGGCCGGGGGGAGGCCTCTGACTCTGGCGTGCTCCAGTGACGTAGGTAACTGAACGGTTGCAGGTCTGGACATTACGGCCTGCTAGAAGGAGGGTGAGGTGAATCGATGTAGTAACACACGTGTGCGCACGTTGATGGAGGATGGTTGGTTGCACGGGTAAGAAGTATTATATGTGCCTGATTAATTGGCGGTTCGAATTGACGTCGATATATGTCACGTGCGAAAAACAAAAATGAAGGAGTGCTCAAGCATTTGCTTTGCGTCACCGTAGCAAACCCCACCTGATGGCCCGGATACGATGTCAAGAGAGCCATCGCTTTGCTCTCCTAGAAATGGCTTACATCATACGTGTTGGGATAAGTCTACGATGAAGAGTTCAATAGTGGATGCCCAAAGATGCCGAATATCACATGTGCCTCAAATACCCCATCTCCAAAAATCTCCAGCTGCAGCGTAGTGTGCCGAAGGGAGGCAAGACGCGGTTGTGTTGATGGTCGGACGACCTCTTCTGGAATACACTGGACGGGGTCCTGGTGTGAATAGTTCACAAGGATATACCCAAGGCGATACGGGACACTCACAGTTACGTCGTACGTGCAGTGTGAAGCACGATACGTTTTCGTGGCGTACAGAGCTCCGGAGCTTTCCACCCTCAACGGCGTGTCAAGACAGCAGCTCTTGGGAGGGCCACACTGCCGGTACTCGTGCCACCACCAAAAAAAAGAAGCCGATCCACATTTATCGGAAAAAGGACATGGAAGAACGAGAAGGAGAAGAAAGCTCGGCATGTCTGCTGATGGTGATGAGGTAATGAGTGATTTGAGCATTCTTAATATAGGCAATGTAATAATAGTATTGCAAGCAAGCAGTACTGCAATTTTGGAGGCGCGACTTTGTGTGCGTAGTATGCCTGGTCATGTCTGCAACACTCAACCGGCATTAACCCTGCTCCGCTTCGCTACCTCTTTTGTTATTGTGGCCCATAGAGGAACTCGGCACGCACACGATACTACAGCGTGGTCTTGGTAGCACATCATTGGTTACTGATCCTGCACGGAACAAAGTGATACCTCGGATATCGAGGTCCACAACGCTCCGCCGAGTCCGCTGGTGGTATTACCAAGACAGTTTGAAGGAGTGGTTATTCACAATGACAAGAACAAAAGGCGTGGATGCATTCATTATTGATCGTCTTGTGCAGAGGCGCGTTGTGGTTTCGAGCAGACGAAGGTGCGTCCTTGCAGGATACACCACGGGTACTAATACTGTACGTTACGTTACTCCGTACTTCGCCGCTTTATAAGGTGCGTTGCAGGTACCTTTGAGTATCTCTTTGTACCCATACTGCCACCACAGGTAGTATTACTAGCAGAACACTATTGCTCGTATTGTTACGGCAAGTACGAGTACAAGTACTGCCGCACCTTCTCGTACTGAAATGATGGTAATTAATTGTATTACGAGTAAAAGGTGCAAAAGGAGGCAGGAGGGGCTTCGAAGTGGAGTTGCCCGACTACCAGCGGTGCTGAGTCAACAAATACAGCCAATCATTCGCTACTCTCTGGTGGCGATCAGATTTTTGGCTGAGTCCCCCGTTTGCAGAAGACTCGTGCCAGTCGAACTGTAACCTTCCCACTCCACCACCACCCAGACTCACCCGTCCTAGCCAACAAAGCCATATCGACAGCTTCATCTATTCCCACCGCTACAATCGGCTCTTTACCCGGTACTTGGGCCTTATCAGAGTACATCTTGATTGTGTATCATCGTACCTTGTTCTATATATTTTATCTGTTCTCTTTCTCGACTGGAACCCGAAACATTGCTGCCGCATTCCCGCCCCATCTTTGTCTACACTTGTACCTTGAGCTTGAACCCGCTACTCCACGGTGAGCAGCCGTCCTCCTTGGAGGATTGACTGTTATTGATCTCGTCATTTTGCGACCACGAGGCTCATCTCCACGATCTTTTATTTGCAGCTCCCGCACCCTTCGACGACCCCGGCCTCAGTTCCATCCATTTACCTTGTTCCGTTGCTATTTCGCCGCGATCGTCTTGGCTCGCCTCCTGCCTTTGCTCGCTCCCACCCGCCTCGCTCCATGTCCAGGATGTTGCCAGTCGCCTGTGTCTCTTCCAGATAAAGTGACATGGATGCGCGCAATGCTGCTGAGTCCGACCAGACAAGGCCTGCTGGTGCGTCACCTCGGCCTGAGCGCCAACCGACACCAGAAGCCAAATCACCTCGCGTCACCCCGGCTGTAGGCTCTGGATCGCCCGACAGGGCTCAGCAACTCCGAAGGGATTCCTTAGATGCTCCCGGCGATCTTGATTCCGATGCCGAGACGATAGTTCTGCCCGGAAAAGACGGTCACTCGCCTTCCAAGGTTCGGAAAGTGAGACAGGAGGACAGGAGTGATGGGGACGCTGAGGCCCCCAAGGGTCGTACCAAGCCCGCCTCTGACTCTGCTGCAGGGCATGACAACTCTTCCAGCAAGAACCGCAAGCTCCTTTCCGGTAGCCACCCTCACGACTCAAGCAAGGTCCGGGCCTCGGACTCTGACAAGGATGGAGCTGCTGGTTCCAAGGACGAACCCGCTGCTGGCACTGCGAACTCAACGCGTACCTCGCCCACCCGGAGCCGCCATCGCCGACGCTCCTTCAGCAGCCGCTCGTCCCACTCCGATGGCGAGAGGCACCCGAAGACGACACTAAGCGAAAAGTTCAAGTCGAAAGAGCGACTGCTACCCCACAAGCGCAAGGCTCCAAGGCCTGGCTCCGACTCGGACGATGAACAGCCCTCCAACAGGGCGCGCCGCAAGCGTACTGCCAGTGTCAGTGTTGACGACGGAAGATTGTCTCGAGAACGCAGGTCTAGCATGTCCAAACCCCAGCATGATGTCCGGGACCGATCGACGTCTCCCCATCGCGTCCACCGACGGAGCAACTCGACTCAGATGACCTCTTTAAACGGACCTTCCTCTAAGAGGAGACGTGTACCACCCCCCCTGCAACCAACCGACTACCATTCCGACGATTCCTCAGCCGGCAGTAGCCCACACCCTCGGAACACCAAGGCCAAGAGCTTGGCTGCCTCTGCCGCCGGCGAATCCAGTGCGTCGCCAGCCAAGGTACCTTCGCACAAGAAGCACCTTGACGCGCATGGGCAGACTCTCCTGGCTCGAGCCTGTGCCCGTGGTGAGTTCGAGGGTACCAAGAAACGACTTCGCGATCGACCCGAAGATCTGAACGTGGCCGACTACGCCGGTAACACGCCGCTTCAAATTGCCGCAATTAACGGTTGCGAGGATATCGTCAAGTTGCTCATCGAGGCCGGCTGCAATATCGACTGTGTCAACTACGACAAGGATACGCCACTCCTTGATGCCGTCGACAATGGCCACCTGGGCGTCGTGAAGCTTCTTGTGGAAGCTGGCGTGAACCCCCGCAAAGCCAATGTGAACGGCGAAGAGCCCATCGACAGAGTCACGGAGGAAACCGATAACGCAGACGAAATACGCACTGTTCTGTTGGAGGCAAAGAAGCGATTTGGAGGTCGTACCAAGACATCCGAAGACCGAAATTACTATCTCGACAATCAGGAAGCTCCGGACAGCCCGCGCCATTCCCCGGCTACTGTCATGGCTAGTGGCCGGAGAAGCGGGACTGTCCGCGCCACCAAGACCAGGAATGACCTGCTCTACCAACCCCTCGACGACAGGACCCTGCTTCAGGCCGCGGGCCGGGGCGATGAAGAGATGGTCGCCCGGATATTACAGGTCAAGGGAAGTTGCCAGGATGCCGAGCCTATGGTTGCTGCTGCACGTGGCGGTCACGATTTGGTCATCCAGCTGCTGTTGGGGCTCGGCGGCGCAAACCCTGACCCTGAGCCTATTGCCTCCCAGCCAACCGAGTTTGCAACTCCGATTCTCGCCGCCATTGGCCAGGAAAATATCAAGGTTTTGGAGCTTCTACTCGAACAGCAATCTGTCGACCCTACGAGACGCTACAAGGGCGAAACATACTACGAGATTGCGAAGCGTCGACAAGGCACAAACTGGAGAGACGAGGAGCAAAAGCTCAAGGACGCATACGACGCATACAAATCCTCCCGAAAGCCGAAAGCGAAATCCCCCGGACGACGTGATCACGAAAGGGAAGAGAAACGCGCCAGGAGAGACGTGGCTGGGGACAACCGTCTGCACAAACGAGATCCTAGAAGCCCCTCGCGAGATAGCGAGTCGCGCAAGAAGATGTCTAAGCTCCCTAGCCCCAAGGAGAAGCGCAACTCCGACTCGCAATCTCGCCCAGGAGACGACAAGGGCGCGACCGCACGACCGAGAAAGGACGACAAGGTCTCGGTCAACACGCCCGACCGTGAAGATTCCCCTGCAGTGCCCCATAAACACCCCAAGACGAAGCGAACCGATTCCGAGGTTGCGGCTTCTTCTGAAGGGGAGACGGTCAAGCCTAGGCGGAAGCTCGTGTCTAAAGGTGAGCTCCGAGGAGAGCGGGAGAAACAGCGGCGATCTAGTGTCACATCTGCCACTTCAGCCAACAAGGAACCAGCAAGCCCACGGGAACCAAAACAGGATGCTTTGTCAGACAGGGAAAAAGTGTCGGAGAAGCGTGCGGACAGGGCCAAGAGTCTTCGGAAGGAGGAGGGCAGAGAGAACGCTTCGGGTGATTCGTCAGGGAAGCGTCATCGCACAAGCCTCAATTCCGATCGGCCCCACAATGGCGACAAGGAGGACGGCGGAGCTCCCATCAAGCGACGTCGCGTCGAGGGCGACGATGGCGAGAAACGTCGAAAGCACCTGCCATCACCAGCGGGCAGCTCTCGCAAGCCGACATCTGATGTCGATGGCCATGGCAAATCTACAGTCAAGCCCATTTCGGAGGCCAACAAGCCGAAGAAGACTTCAGGAGGTGATTCTGCTGTTCGTATCAAATCGGAGGATGCCGATGTCGAGATGCCCGACGCCGGCCACTCGAAGGGCCCGAGCCCTACCGCAGATGTGCCCGAGCAAGGCGGCGACCGTGCTTCAAAGAAGAAGCCGTCAGAGGCTTCCAAGGCGGACGATGAGGCATTGAAAGAAAAGGAGAAGGAGCGCAAGCGTGCGGAGAACGAGAAGAGGAAGCGTGAGGAGGATGCCGCTAGGAAGGCGAAGGAGGAAGAAGCTGCGGCTAAGAAGAGAAGAGAAGAGAAGGAGGAGGAAGAACGTGAAGCGGAAAAGAAGCGCCGGGAAGAAGCCGAACGTGTGAGACGGGAGGAGGAGCAAGAGAAGAAGCGTCTTGCAGATGTCAAGGCGCGCCAAGAGGCTGAGGAGAAGGCGCAACGCGAAGAGAAAGAAAGGAAGCGTCGTGAGGAGGAGAAGCGCGCCAAGGAGGAGGAAGAACGAAAGCGTCGCGAAGAAGAGGAGGAGAGACACCGCAAGGAGCGCGAGGCTGCTGAAGAGGCGCGTCGCAAGCGGGAGGAGGAAGAGCGCAAAGAGCGTGAGAGGCGTGAACGTGCACACCGCGAAGAGATGGAGCGGAAGCGGGCAGCGAGGGAGGCAGAACAGCGGCGCATCCGCGAGGAACAGGAACAGGCTCGCCTGGACAAGCTGCCGCCGCTACTCCGATGGCTCGACACGTGCCCGAACCCCAAGGACCCGGCCTACGCCAAGAAGCTGAGGCTTCTACAAGGCGCTCGATACGACACGATGCGACCCGAGGCGACGGGCACACCCGAAGGACGGGAACTGTGGGTTCTCAACGCCCACGTGGCGCTTATCTTGGGTGAAAAGGACCTGAACCTAACCCGATGTAAGCTATGACCGACGCACCACCGCTTTGAGGGAGCTAGAGGACAAAGACTGACGGACAATCTGCAGATACCGACTGGGAGCGTGTACCGGCCTCACATCTTGCGAAGGCTTCTCTTTGGAGGGTAGAGTCACGTCTCTATACCCTGACGGACCCGGACCTGTGGGAAATCGGCTGCCAACTTCCCGGGTACTATGGCCCGGGAAGATCAGGTTCGAGGGGCCTGGCCCCAGAGGCGCACCAGGCTCTCGTGGTGGCAGCTCGGGAGAGGTTTTTCAACATGGATCTGTTCTTCGTCAAGGCGTCGGACTTTTTATACACGGTCCCCAACATCCCCCACCTGCGAAATGTCCAGCTGGCCATCATGTACCGCGAGCTCGCACAGGAAGACCATGAGCTGAAGACGTTCAAGACGAAGCAGAAGTGGAAGCAAGATCCCGACGCCAACCGATTTGGAGGCGTCTTCGGGCCCCGGAACAAGTACTACGTCAACGGGGTCATGGTTGACGAGGACAAGCCAGTACCGGCCGTCACTAGCAAGACGCCCTTCCCCGAGAGGCGGGTGCCCCGGCGCGGACTGCTGCAGGTATTCCCCGACGACCCGGACTACGCCAGGATCTGTATGGAACAAGGCCTGGGACATCTGGTCAAAGGCCACGGGGGGCAGTCGCCGGTCAACGGCGTACAGTCGCCACCGCCCAGCCACTCTGCCGACACACCCAGGGGCAATGACGGCTCTTCAGAGACGACGCACGACGGTGCGGACCATTCAGGGGTTGCCTCCATCAAAGGCACTGGCGATGCTACTGATAAGAGCAAGACCGGAGCTAACGGAAGCCTACTCAACGGCCTTGACGGCCCGGATGCTACCGCCTCTCGAAGTCCATGATCTGGTGGACACTGGACATTGAACGTTTCCCATCACCCCCCCTCTCCCACTCTTTTCTATGTTTCCTTCTTTTTTTTATGTTTTCTTTTTTTTTTTTTCAATCGGCATCAACTTTGCGACTCATGCCTCATACCCTTTACCTGATGACGACGGGTCCCTGGTACTACACGCATTTGCAACGGACAGACGATGTAATACATATTTTACTTTGTCCATTATACCCCCTCTCCCTCGAGAAGGGAAGTGCGGCTATATACATACGGAGTGGACCTATTCTTTTCTTTTTCTTTTCTGTGATGGGATATATGACTGCGGAGTCTGTGGAAGGAGAGGGACTGCCATGGAGTAGACGAGTAACGTGCAGCATATACTTTTTTTTTTGTAGCGTTCCCCCCCCCCCTTCTATCCGCCCTTGTGTTCCTTCGTTTATTGTGTAGACGTTATGGGTGGCGTGGGAGTTTTGGCTGTCAATGGATGCCTTGAAGAAGTGCGTACGACATATGTGCGTGTGTATTTCATTTTTGTGGGCGGTGGCTGTGTTAGTAATATTTTTTTCAAGATGCGTCGCACTCGGTGAGGTCATTGGGCGGATCACGGATTAAAAATTGACCCCACCAAAAATTGAGAAGGAGGACGACTCAAACCCACGTCCCCCACCACCATACACAAGAACCAAGTACGGCAGAACGAGCGAACAACGCCGAGGAACGAAGCGACGACGACGGCGACGACGACGGCGGCGAATCTGAGACGAAGTGTACGGACCCGGGAAAGGTCCGGCCAAGAGACCTGTCTACGAATTTCACCACACTTTGGAGAGAAACCGGCCTCGGCCGTAATAGTTGCCCATCATGTCCACAACGGTAGAAAAGGTTTGTTGGACTTTCTCTGGATAGGAGGGGAAGAAGTACAGAAGAGAACCTTGACTAACTGTTTTTTTTCCCTCGAAATATATAGATCAAGCAGATTGAGGAGGAGGTACGTCTACCCAAAAGGCACTCTTGTCTCTCTTGTCTCCCCCATCACCCTACGCACACGACGAAATGAATATCTGACCCTGTGTGTGTATGTATAGATGGCCAGGACCCAGAAGAACAAGAACACGTCCTTCCATCTGGGTCAACTCAAGGCCAAGCTGTCAAAGCTCAAGAGGGAGCTCCTCACCCCGACGAGTAGTGGTGGTGGTGGCGGCGCGGGATTCGACGTGGCCAGGACGGGTGTGGCGAGTATCGGGTTCATTGGCTTCCCGTCCGTGGGAAAGAGTACGCTCATGAGCAAGATTACGGGGCAGCACTCTGAGGCGGCGGCGTACGAATTCACGACGTTGACGTCTGTTCCTGGACAGGTCACGTACAACGGTGGGTCTTCCTTTTTCCTGCAGTGCGGGACAAGAAGGAGGAGGAGGAGAAAAGAGAAAGAGAAGAAATGAAGCTGACGCGTTGATGCAGGCGCCCCCCTTCAGATCATCGATCTTCCCGGTATCATCGAAGGTGCCAAGGACGGTCGGGGACGTGGACGACAGGTCATTGCCGTGGCCAAGACGTGCCACCTGATCTGCATCGTGCTGGACGTCAACAAGCCCCTGACGGACAAGCGTGTCATCGAGTCCGAGCTCGAGGGCTTCGGGATCCGCATGAACAAGGAGCCGCCCAACATCACGTTCAAGAAGAAGGACAAGGGCGGGCTCAACATCACCAATACGGTGCCGCTGACCAACATTGACCACGGCGAGATCAAGGCGGTCATGAACGAGTATCGCATCAACTCGGCCGACATCAGTATCCGGTGCGACGCCACGGTCGACGACATTATTGACGTCATCGAGGCGCGCAGCCGCAGCTACATCCCCGTCGTCTACGTTCTCAACAAGATCGACGCCATCAGCATCGAGGAGCTCGACCTGCTGTACCGCATCCCCCACGCCGTCCCCATCAGCTCTGAGCAGGGCTGGAACATTGATGAGCTCATGGAGGCCATATGGGACAAGCTCAACCTCAAGCGCATCTACACCAAGCCCAAGGGCAGGCAACCGGACTACTCGTCTCCTGTTGTGCTCAGGTCAAACCGAAGCACCGTCGAGGACTTTGTAGGTTATCTCCTGTTCCGGGATCCCTCTCTTGTCTCTCTACTTCTCTCTGAGCGGAAGACGACCAAGGAGAAGGATGATTGTGAGGGGATTTGGAGAGAAGAGAAAATGCAAGAAAAGGGAAGACTGACACGAAACAGTGCAATTCCATTCACAAAACCATTGTGGAACAGTTCAAGACGGCCATCGTATATGGAAAGTCCGTCAAGCACCAGCCGCAGAAGGTCGGATTGAGCCACGAGTTGGCCGACGAGGACGTTGGTAAGTTTTCTCCCCTTTTGCACATTACATCGTATGATTGTTACCACCACGGGCGCCGTTTGTTATTGTGGTTATCATCACTGCTGCTGTTGTCTGCTGCTCAAAACCTCTACATATCGCATCCTGTTTCCTCTCTTGAATCCTCTCTCCTCCTCTTTCTCGGGAGAGATTTGCCGTTCGGCCGACTGGCGCCCCGACTGGCGCCTCAGCGAGCTGCGGGGTGTGGAGAAATGCGAATGCGGGAGAGGACGGAGAAAAAGAAAAAGCGAAGATCGGCACGGGACCAGGTCGTACTTCTGGTCGTGAGAGCAATCCAGCCGACCGATCCTCTCCTCTTTTCTCACCCTGGTCGGACGCTGGTTGCAGAGCATATGCTCTCCCCCTGTTCCTATGCGGCCTCGTCGACCGTGTCTGCTTTCTTTTCCTTCCTATTTGACGGCGCAACACTGTTAGCGTGGTTATCGGAGAAAGAGAGAGAGAGAGAGAGAGAGAGAGAGAGAAAGGACCTTGGCTAACCAGGAGTGGCACAATGCAGTTACGATTGTCAAGCGATGAAGTGACTGGATCCGATCCTATGAAGTATCTACTCGTATTCCGGTTGAAGCGAACGGCAAGAAAGAACAAGAAGAAGAGAGATGACAATATCAGGCAGTCGAGGGGAGGGTCAGTAGCCTTCTACCCAGAGAAGCAGCAAGGACGTGATCCGCTCCCTTTCCCTTCCCTTCCACACACGATACCGCACATGATTGGTCTATACAGACGAACGGGAGTTTTCGTGGTATTCGTGGTATTCAGTTGAACTGCTTGTACATACATGGATGACGAGGGGAAAAAAGAAAAAAAAAGTCTTTTATTACTCATGAACGGCTGCGACGGGCGCTCTCTCGATACGCGAACTATGACTTGTCACCCCCATGGACCCTGGCAAAAATTAATCTAACACCATTTAATGCTCCTTAGTAGCTGGCTAGTGATGATGCTCGTAGTTTACGGGCCGGTAAGGCCGATACGGACATGTCTTGTGATGATCTACCTCTAGGGTCGGGAGAATGTAATTAGAGTGATTGATACGGAGACAATTTCTGATATATTATTCTGTATTATTCCAGGGAGCCAAGGCTTAGAGCGAAGAGCAGTAAAACTGTGTAATCTGTGGTCACGTACAGAACATTATTCAATACTCGATACGAATAGACATATTCGATAGCCCGGGAGGTATCATACTCGTACACAGAAGAGCAAGGGTCTGACCAGGTCTGGACCATCTTGTCTATCGTGATATTGATTAACCCCCCTCCCCTCAAATCTACGGAGTATTGAGTATTTGCACCAGCAATCTTTTTTATTTTTCTATTCTTTTTTTTTAAAAAAAAAATTGCAAAATTTCTTTCTAGTATGGAGCATTTCCGTCATACATCCGCGCACACACACACACACGCACACACACGCACACACACGCACACACACACGCACACACACGCACACACGCACACACACAAACATTACAAGGTGACATTTGACATGGTAGTTGGATGGGTTCTTAGTGTCGGTCAGGAAGATAGTAGTAGCAGAATTAATACTGCATGCACCAACGTATGGAGCGAGTACATGCAGGTCGTACAGGGCCAGCTGATGACAAGTTTTGCGGGACAGGGGTTGGGAGGGGGAAGTGGGTGTCGTCTGTCTGTTGGTGGGACGCGGATGGATGGCACATTCAGTACAGATTACAAGAGTAGAAGAGTAAAACGAGCGAGGGAGGGCAATCGCCACCATAGTTTGAATGCTGATGATGACAATCATGCTTCCAATCTCTGGCTCTCTTCTGAAGGCGCGAGAGATGGCCGGTGTTGCTCGCAGGTACGGAGTAATCATACATGCAGTATGAATCGTGACGACAGATTGCAATACGGTACGGATAGATATATACAACGTGGGAGCGGGAGGGAAAGCTGCGAGATGGACGATTCTGCTCTGAATCCATCTCCCCCTCCCCTTCCGTGCCATGCCGGATGTAGGTTGGCTCAGGACACGGCGTCTGCTGTTTTGGGCCCTGCATAGCCGCGGCGGGCGGGCCTCTTGATCTGCGGCCAGGTCTCTTCCTTCTTTCTCCTCCTACTCTCTCCCTCCTTCCTCCGCCGGCGAACGCTTCTCCTTCTTCAAAGAGAGGGAGGATCGTTGACGACATCTCCAGCCTCTAGGTACTGATACTCGTAGCGAGGTTGTAGTCGTAGCAGTGATATGCTGTAGATGATAGTGGTGTTCATCACATTGCAATGTCGCCTCTGCAACGATGGAAAATTTCCGTCAACGTTGCAGATGTTGACATGGGACGACACGTGTCTTGTGTGAGTGAGCGGATGTGACAACGGCAGAGGATTTCTGTGCTTCTCCTTTCTGTTTTACCCTTTGGGAAATGTCGATGCATTTCCTTCTCCTTCTTCTTCATGACTGGTATTAGTTGCCAAGCATGTTGTAAGCCGCCTTGCGACCCTCCCTTCCCCTCTCCCTTCTCCCCCCCCCCCCCCCCCCCCCAACCTCCTCGAGGATTGCGGATTGCGACGACGACAGAAGCGCCCCCCCCAAAACAAGAAAAGGAACCCACACCCGCTCATGACAGGTTGGGCAGCAGCAGGATTATCACGTCGTGGAAAAGTAAAAGCAAAAATTAAACGAATTAGAAAGAATCACAAGAGGATTACAAAGAAAAAAAAAACTCATGGTAATGCATGTCTCTTTTTGTTTCTCAGTTGCGTACAGAGTTAGAGTACGGAGTAACGTCGTAATTGACAGGGTAACAGGGTAACAGGGTAAGAAGGTGGGAGGGTGGGAGGGGGGGGCTCCAAATGAGGCACACAAGGACTCGAGTAATATAGACGAGTAGACCAGACTCGCCATGACCCCGGAGATTAATACGGGAAGAGCGGAGATGGGTTGTTTGAAAGTGGAGGGTTGTAGGTACTGATGGTAAACAATACTATTGCTACTCATACTAAATAGCTATTCATGCTAAGCGATACGGAGTGATCTGCACATAAGTAATATCGTCCACGAGTACTACGAGTGCAGAGTCGGTCGGCCGGAGACGGACGGACACTAGCATCTCGGCTTCTCCATGTGCCATTCCTACTTCTTCCTGTGGCTTGTATCTGCCCTTCTTTCCTCGCTGAGAATTGTGGTTTTCTCGGTATAAGTGAGAGATCAGCAGTCACTTGTCAACTGGTGAGGTATCGCTCTACACGTATGGAATGTTTGCCAACTTTTTCCTCTCTTTTCTCTCTCTCTCGCTCACTCAGAAATGAAGAAGAAGAAGAAGAAGAGGAGGAGGAAGAGGAAGGAGCCTTGCGCCATAAGTCAAAGAGATGAGATGACAGAATGAAGAACGTCGGTTATAACAGGGGGGTTGTCAGCGATTGTACAGCATAACATCGTCGTCAAAAGATTGTGTTCTCCTTCTCCGGTAGTAACACAAGAGAACTGTTAACGGGACGAATATCTACGAAGACTAGCATGATATCTATGCAATCCTCCCATTGGTAGTACAAGAATATATATATATATATATATATATATATACGTACTTGTTTTCTTTTTCATTAGGGGAAAAAAAAAAAAAGAGGACAAGCTGGGGAAGGGGGGGAGGGGTAGGGACCGAGCGTCTTACGACGTATACAAGACTGCATGTATTATTCTATATTGTGGGACTGTGGTGTCGTGTCTGCCCGTTGCGGCGTCGCCCTGTATTGGCCGTAGCATCGATACTATTATACTCACGGACTGCCCCGGGAGGACTTGTAGAGGGAGGAGAGGAAGAGAGTGAGAGAGAGAGAGAGAGAGAGAGAGAGAGAGAAAAGATCTGCTAGTAAACGATGACAGGGACATCGGGCTACATGACACATGGGGCTCCTGCCTGTACACACATAACGACAGATCGGGGGTGGAGATCGGCCGACGAAAAAAAAGATACCACATACAATGTTCGGGGTTTCGCGAAAATGGGCAGTGTAATCTGTAGTGAGAGACGAGATGAGTAGTAGGAGTGCAGACAAATCAGGGTTCAATGCTAGTTATCATGTCACTGCCGAGTATTGTCATTACATGTACAGATCAAAAGAGTCTAGCAGTGATGGCAAGCAATATCGTAGCAGCAGCCAGCCTTGGCACGTTGGTACCTGGCCGGGGATCTCTACTCGTATCGTTGCCATTCCCGACCACGTCCGCGAGGACTGGCCAGGAGCAGCGCGGGCAGCATTTGCGACGTGCAGGTGAGAGGAAGATCACGAGCATTGCAAGTACAGGTTGGGTATCGCTAGCCTGCCAGGGGGCCGAGGGGAGGGAGGGAGAGAGAGAGAGAGAGAGAGGGGGGGGGGTGGGACCATGACCTGCTGCTCGTGGTGATGCGACGTAATCATACATGTATCCGGTCTATCGATGTCACGGAGCAGAGAGGACATCAACCAGGAACAGACAGGGCAGGTATACGTCGATGCCCACGCCTCGATCCCATTGCCCGGTCTCTCACGAGATACGTATCGTCCTCTGTGGCGATCCGTCACCGACATCTTCGATGGAAAGAACGCGTTCAGAGAGTTGGCAAACTCGATCATGTATCCGTCACATGCATGCACGGTACTACGGGACAGATTACAGATTACATACACGTGTGTGTGCGAGTATCTATAAGCAACATCACAAACGCATAGCAGTGGTCAATCAGCAAGTATCATTGCATTCGAGACTGTCAAGGTCTAGGAAGAGCAAATTGCGACGCACGGCGAGAACTCCATGTTCCTTGGGATGATTGATGCCCGACGGCAATATTGCCCGCAACACCATGACGGGTATCACGCCGTAACTGATGCCACAGGTGCTCAGTGGACAGAGTGGACAGAGTGGACAGAGTGTACGGATCTTATGTCTGTTACAGATGCCAATAGTAGCAGCTGCATGCGCTACAGTGGTCATGGCAATATTGAGTAGGGTTGTCGCCGTTTGAGGGGGAAAAAAAAAGAAATAAAGAGGAGAGGTATATATACATACAATGCGTAATATCGAGTGATCCTTCATGCTAATTCATGCTCCTTCACATCGTCATCAAACGTCGTCATCAAACATCGTCATCTAGACAGAATCATCCATACACTTCTCGTAATGCGTCCAAGATTGGCCAAGAAACACGTGCAGGTTGGAGAGGACGAGTTAATACAGGCAATAGACATATACACACACACGCACACACACACATACATACAACACACACATGTAGATAATACATCATGTACCCACTCGTACTCGTACTCGCAAGAGCCTACAATGTGATACCTACAGATACAGCTTACAAGTCATCCGTACGGAGTAAATACCTGCACAGGGTCGACTAGGTCGTACATGGCAGATCCCTTGATCGAGGAGAATAAACGGTCATTACGCCGTACATGTACGCCGTATATATGCATGTACATATAGAAAGGAGGAGGAGGAGGAACGGCAACAACAACTAAGAGAAGGGAGGGGGGGG